TCGAAATGGGTTTTTAATAAAATCTGAAATCTCTCTCTCTCTCTCTCTCTCGCGTGTTCCTTCTCTCTCCTCCCCGCGCACAGCTCCCCCGAGCACTGTTCACCGACGCCATTTTTGGGTCAGCGCCGCCGCCACGGTGCACCACCGGCCACCCGACCGGTCGGGTTCGAACCGCTGTCACCCCAGCAACCTTTCCCGACCATCCCCGACGGCAGCAACGGCCGGAATCCACCGGAAAAAGCTCGGAATCGCGCCAGTTTTGACAGAAACTTCGCCGGCTCGATTTCCCTCCTCCGGCCACCGTTTCTGGTGATTGAGGTATGAATTCCTACCTATTTTTCATGATCTAGCTGATGGTTGGGTAGGATTGCATCAATTTTGAGTGTAGATCATCCGATTTTCGATTTAGGTTTCGGCCGGTTTGCGATCGCGATTCTGGCCACCTCCGGTTAATTTTTGGGGTATGCCCAAGAACAAAAGTGACTCCAAATTAGGTGTATTACCTAGGGTAGGAGTCTTGGCACGAGATTCTAAGATTTTCCAGCGATGCGATATCGCTTTGGACACCCACGAGCTGCCGGCGCATGTGGCGGCGTGTGGGCACTGTAGCTGAGGGGTATTTTTGTCCCACTGCGATCCTCTCGATGTCACGAGCGCGTAGGTGTGCTCGGATTTCAATTTGGATATCGTTAGGGTTCCGAACGGATATCGCATGTTGCGTATTTTCCGGGTTTTGTTAGGTTTGGACCGTTGGATGGTCCTGAGATTCTAATATGTTGATCTAGGCAGTACTAGGATCGTATAGGATTCGACGGATCGTAAAACGGAGTCCCGGATACTCCGGATAAGCCAACCCTAGGGTTAGGGTTTTAGTAACCGTTCGATCGTCCGATCGTGAGCGATTTGACCTTCTGATCCGGATTAAACTTGGAGCACATGTGTCCTAGACCTTGTAGGACCTATAGGAACTGTCGGATCGGAAATTGAAGGTCGTAGACCCAGGGGCTCGTTTAATCGAGACTGGGTAGTTTGACCCTGAGTTGACCGTGAGACTTCCTAGGTAGTGTTACCTTCCTAGGAAGATTATAATGACCCTAGTGACAGGTCTTGAGAGTTGTTGAGTGATATTGATTATGTGGGATTAGGATATCAATTTATGGTGATAAATTGGGGGTTTCTCGGATGTTATATCTTGGGGTTGAGGTTGATGCAATAATGGATTATATTTAAATATATATTATTATTGTTATAAAGATGCTTGAGGGCACTATAAGTGCCACCCTGTGAATTGTTGTTGAGGTGCTTACAATATTAGAAATTTATATATATGTTTGTATGTATTTATAAAGGTATGAAAAGAGTACAGATTGTCAGTTTGAAGGGCTATATGCACTATCTTAAATACCTCCTCGGTTATGGGTTTTATGTTTGAGATTTATTTTTGACCAGGCCTGTCGGAGTTTGTCCAGACCCTTCGGATGTCTTCTTGATACGATGCCTTGGAAAGAAAGTGTTAATGTTTCAATGTGTTTTTATCTGATTTAGAATTATGATAGATCCGAAAGGTATAGAGGTTTGGAACAATTGAATTAAGGAAGAAAATATCATTTTTAATGTTGTGATAAGGGTTACGAACTCCACCATCATACGTACCTTCCCTGGTTACTATTCACACACGTTCCGTGTTTCGGGCGTGTGGGCTTTCTTGGTTACGGATCCTGGAATTGTGGGATGCCGGGAATATTATGATATGGTTTGGACATGTTGAAATACGGGGCATCTTGGCTAAGAGTTAGTCCCCCAGTTGGACGGCTCGTTCCTTAGCACATGGCCGTCTGAGGGCCGGATAATTGTGAGCTAGTCAACAATCCCCTGTTGGATTGTTTCCCCCAGTACATGATGTGCAGCATCACATGTACCTCCCTTTGGATACTGATACATGGAAATGGATATGGATCTGTGAATGTGTAGATACCCGGGCATACCTGAACGGGGTGTTACCGTAGACCCTTGACTGGGTAGTCTGCGCGCGTATGACTGTCTACAGGCGTACGGGTCTTGATTCTTCGTCCGTACGTGCTGGGCTGAGAGTTAGTCCCCCAGTTGGACGGCTCGTTCCCTAGACGCATGGTGAATTGAGGGATTGCTCTGCCATGTGGACTAATCAAACGATCCCCTGTTGGATTGTTTCCTCTGGTACGTAATGATGGTGAGAGGTGTGTGTTATTATATATATATATATATCCATATATGTGTATATGTGGTTTTTGATTCGGGATTGAAATCGTGAGATTGTCCTTTGAGAGAACCTTGTACATGTATAAATGTTTACTCCCGGTTGGTTAAGGGAGGGTTGTGTAGGTGTACTATTGATTAAAGTGTGTGATATAATGGGCTGAGGCCCTGGAATAAATGGTGATAATTTATAGATGATAATTGATGCATGTTAAAACCTCGTTTGTTGGATTGGGGAAAGTTAGTGGTGAGTTTTGCTTTCGGCAATTATAAGTGTGTTTGAGCTTGTTCTTGCCATGTTTCAGGAAATTTTTATCTAAAGACTTTGTTGGTAGATCTTTTTTGTGAATATTTGAAGGCCAGAGGCCAATTAGTTGAATTGCATGTTATTACATTGTGCGTGCTGTCGGTTGGGTTATAAAACTCTGTTTTATGCAGGTGGAAATTTTGGGAAATGTTCAAACTACAGGAGAGACTCTGGCGAATTTTCGGCAGAAAGTCTCATGCCCTTACTCCTTTTGAAGAAGGAGGTTACCTTTATAAGGAGTGAACCCAGCATGGGTGTGATGCCGGGGTCTCCGCAGGATTCATCTCAGGTTTTGTGAAAAATTCGGGGCGGGTCCTGCCAGCTTGGTATCAGAGCTTAGATTCAATTTCTTGTGGACCCCGCACCTAGTGTGCATCCCTAAGTTGTGGGATTATGATGGGTTCCGTCACGGGACGTCATTATTTTTATGCGGAAATTGCATAAGATCTTCCACTCAAACATGAAAATGTGCTGCTGAGTTTTCTGGTCTTGGATAATTAAAAAAAAAAGGTTAATTACAGTTTAGTACTATGTAGTTACACCCTATGTTGCACAGACACGGGTACGGGGACACAGGAACGCGCCACGGTGACATGAAAATTCTTTAAAAATTAGGACACGGACACGGCAATTAAAATAATAATTAATTATCAATACTTTTTTTTTTGGCTTAATTAATTCTTAATACCATAAAACAAAACAAATAACTCATCGTTCATCATCCATAAATAATAATTAATACACCATAAAAAAGAATCGTCCTTGTTGCGTTTCTCTTCAAAAAAACAGAAGAAAAGAATCTTCACCTCACCACCAAGTCCAACTCTTCTACT